AATAATCTCAATATTTATATATGAATTATACGTATCTCTTGGATGAAAATTTTAAAACTAAAGGCCATTATTTATATGTGCTCAAAGGATATGAAAGAATTTTCATCTCAGAAAAGCATAAGAAGGAAGTCAATATCTATTTTAATCTCAGGCAAGCATACTAAGGAAGTCAGTAGCTGCAAAAGCACCTCAAAAATTATTCAAAGTCAAATATAAATAATCTTATTTGCTTTTTGAATTATGAATACATCATAGCTTTTTTATTAGCATCCAATTCAAAGTTGGCCTATTGTCTGGTGGTATTAAAATGGATCACGTGTGTAGCCCTTAATAATGCACATTGACACGGAACACCTTGCTTGATCCTCATAATTCTGTGAAGTAGGTATTATCACCTATGTACAGATGAAGAAACACATCCTGAGAGATGTGAATTTTAATGCAATTTCTATGAATGACATCTTTTTTTCAAAATCCTATGAAACACAATCCAGTAATTTTTAAGAAGCTGTAGCACTCCTTCCTTACACCATATACAAAAATCAACTCAAGATGGATGAAAGATTTGAATGTAAAACTTAAAACTATAAAAACCCTAGAAGAAAACAGGAAAGGCCATGGACATAGGCCTTGGCAAAGACTTCATGATGAAGATGCCAAAAGCAATTGCAGCAAAAACAAAAATTGACAAATGGGATCTAATAAAACTAAAGAGCTTCTGCACAGTAAAAGAAGCTATCAACAGAGTAAACACACAACCTACAAAATGGGGGAAGAACACCTGCAAACTGTGCATCTGACAAAGGTCTAATATCCAGCACCTGTAAGGAACTTAAATCAACAAGCAAAAGCAAACAACCTCATTAAAAATGGGCAAAAAATGTGAATAGATACTTCTCAAAAGAAGACATGCATGTAGGCAACAAGCATATGAAAAAATGTTCACCATCACTAATCATTATAGAAATGCAAATCAAAACCACAGTAAGATACCATCTCACCAGTCAGAACGGCTATGATGAAAAAGTAAAAAAAAATAATAAAATTTAAAAAATAAGATGCTGGTGAAGTTGTGGAGAAAAGAGAACACTCATACACTGCTGGTGGAAATGTAAACCAGTTTGACCACTGTGGAAAGCAGTTTGGAGATTTTTCAAAGAATTTAAAACAGAGCTATCATTCAACCCAGCAATCCCATTACTGGATATAAACCCAAAGGAATATAAATTGTTCTAACATAAAAACACATAGACACGTATGTTCATTGCAGCATTATTCACAATAGCAAAGACATGGAATCAACCTAAATGCCCATGAATGGCGGAATGGATAAAGAAAACGTGGTACATATATACCACAGAATACTATACAGCCATATAAAAAGAATGAGATCATGTCCTCTGCAGCAACACAGATGGAGCTGGAGGCCGGTATCCTAAGTGAACTAACACAGAACAGAAAACCAAATACTGTATGTGCTCCTTATAAGTGGGAGCTAAACATTGAGCATACATGGACAAAAAGAAGGGAATAATAGGCCCCAGGGCCTACTTGAGGGTAGAGGGTGAGAGGAGGGGGAGGACTGAGAAAATGCCTATCAGGTACTATGCTTATTACCTGGGTGACAAAATAATCTGTACACCAAACCCCAAGGACATGCAATTTACCTATATAACAAACCTGCAAATGTACGCCTGAACCTGAAATAGAAGTTGGAAGGAAAAAAATACATTGCACAAATGGAAACAATAAAATCTACAATTTGAACATTTATTTGAATAGCTGGACGTGTCATCAGAACAACTCTTGATGCTTATTTAAGCACCCAGAGCTACCTAAAGAGAACATGAGGTTTAAGAACCACTGATGAGGAATCAAAGCCCTACTTTGAAGAGTATAAATATATATATTAAGCAGTATATACATATATATACTCACACATTTTAAAGAAGTATAAAATGAACACTTGTATACTTAACACTAAGAAATTGAATATTAACATTGAAGCACCCAGGGCTTCTCCTGTATTGCATTCTTCCCTAGAAGTGATCACCAGCCTGTTTTGAATTATGCCTATGCTTTCGCTATTTTGCCACACCGTATCTTCTATAATATGGTCTTGTTTGCTTTTAGGCCATATGTAAATAGCGTATATATTGACATGCACACACATCCCCTTTGATGACTTAGTATTTTATCTTTAACAGTCTATTTGACATTGGTTCCTGCTGATGCTTGTGACTGTAGATCACATTCACTCCTTCACAATATTACATTGTATGGAAGTATTCATTTTGTCCATTCTGTTGGTGGGCCTTTGAGTTGTTTCCAGCTTTTTTCCCTCAGGTACAAATAATGCTTCCATGAAGATTCTTATAATTGGTTTCCTTGGTATATTCGTACCAACATTTCTTTAGGGTGAAACTATAAATTGCAGAGACTACTTACTTTAAAACTTATTAGGTAATAATGACTTATTTTCTAAGGTGGCTGTACCAATTTACACTGCTACTATAATTTCATGAGAGTTCTTGTGGCACCCTGTCCTCACCAATTCTTATCCAACATGTGAATGTTACCATGTAGTTTTCATCTGTATTTCCCTATTTTCTTCTAAGACTTTAAAAGTTTTGCTTTCATTTAAGTCCTTGACCCATTTAAATTTGACTTTTGTGCATGAAATTATATATATATACCTGCCCTTTTGAAAATTTCCTTATATTTCTCATATTAAGAATTTTCAAAGATTTTTCTTTCCCCTTATCTCAATCCCCATCCTTTATGAAGAGATTCAATGAATTAAAGAATATGAACCCATACAGAACTTCAGAGATGTACACTTTCTAAAGAATATGGTGAGTTTTTTGGACATAGAACAAATACAAATGAAAATAATAACAAATACTATGTTGGGCCTCACAAATTAGCAAAATATATTCTTAATAAGGCTAATTAATCTCAGAGTGTTGTAAAACGAGCATTGTTATACACACTATTGGTGGTGCATACAATCCAAAAGGTGCATGCATACCTTTGCAAAGGTAATTTGAGGCTAACTGCATGGAAGGCTTTAAGGGTGTCCACCATTTTTTAAGGAAATTTAACTTTATGAAATCTATCCTATGGAAATAACTTTAAAATCATAAAGTATGCACTAAGATGTTCATCGCAGTGCCTGTCTGTATATCTTAACCACTTTTGAGCTATTGCCATTTTTGCTACTATGTGTGTGTATATATGTAATTGTCCCCTTCTTTAAAATGTTCTGTTTTTTTCAAAACTAATTTTTCTATGAGCTTGTCCTTCATATATAACAGAAACATGTAATGTATAAAAATATAAACATCATTTTGTTATTAAAGTACTCAGATTTTTGGTGTCTGTCAGCAGCAAAGTGGTAGGACACAGATATTATTTGTCGAGCTGTGCATTAGCTTCTGACAACTGGATGATGGAAGGAATTGTTGCAGCTTGTGTGCACCTCACTTCTGGCCATAGTTTCAGATTAGTGCACAAAAATAGGATCCTAGAAACTATGGAAAAAGCTTCATTGCATTAAGTGAAAATCTCCTCATGTTTAAAAAGAATAAAAAATAAAATATATACAGGCAAGAATTTACTAGAACAATTTGTATAAGAACGAGCTGCAGCCCAGTTCTCCTATTTGATGACATCAAATAAAGGTGAGACTATTTGGAATTCTGAAATGAGCTAACCTCACTCTGTAACTTGATATTACTGAAATGGTTATTAGTGAGCTGTAGGGGGCGGTGCAGAAGAAACTAGTGTTTGTTGAGTGCCTTTATGTGCCAGGTACTTCAAAACATTGTTTCACTAATCCTCATAATGACCCTGCTAAGTAGGTACTGTGAGTTCTGCTTTACACGTGAAGAAAGCTCATGGAGTTAAGCAACATGACCAACCTTAGCACGGTGCCTGAAATACAGTAAGTGCTCAATAAATATCTTTTGAATAGATGGTAGGCAATATACCTAACTAGTGGAAGAACCAGTATTCATACTTAGATCCATCTTATTGCATAGCTCACACTATTTCCATCATAGTGTATTGCCTTCTGTGTAAGACTATACAGAATCATTTTAAATGCCTGAGAAAGAGCACTGCCAATGTAAACATAGCTAGTAAGCCCTGCAACCCGTGATTTCTCCCTTTATATCAGAACAATTTCAATTTCAAAATGTGTGCATTGTGAAGGATGAGAAAAGACAGAAAACAGGATCTTCAAGGGCTTTACTGTTACTTAACACCAAGAGTACATGAAAATAACATAAATATATATTAAAACATCATATGTGTATGGAACATTAATACATCTCATCCATTTTTTTGTTGAGTTCTACTGACTCTTTAAAATTTATTTTACTTTAAGTCCTGGGATACATGTGTAGAACGTGTAGGTTTGTTACATAGGCATACATGTGCCATGGTGGTTTGCTGCACCTATCAACCTGTCATTTAGGGTTTAAGTCCTGCATGCATTAGGTATTTGTCCTAATGCTCTCCCTCCCCTTACCCCCAACCCCCATCCCCAACCAGCAGGCCCTGGTGTGTGATGTTCTCCCGTCTGTGTCCATGTGTTCTCATTATTCAACTCCCACTTATGAAAACATGTGGTGTTTGGTTTTCTGTTCTTGTGTTAGTTTGCTGAGAACTATGGCTTCCAGCTTCATCCATGTCCCTGCAACGGACATGAACTCATCCTTTTTCATGGCTGCATAGTATTCCATGGTGTGTATGTGACACATTTTCTTTATGCAGTCTATCATTGATGGGTATTTGGGTTAGTTCCAAGTCTTTGCTACTGTAACATCATCTGAAATGTGTTACTTTAATTTTATGAATGTTAGGTATTATGTCTCTTTTCCTTTTTTGCCCCACACATCACTGAAATGGATTATTCGAAAATGCTAAAATAAGTAAAATGTGTGGCATGCTTTCTTAGATGCTTTGTCTCCTGTACCAAAATAATTTACAAATACAAAAGTTGAAAATAATTTTATTAGTTTTTAATGCATAAATCCAAACATATATTTGTACTGAATGTTTTATTAGCTAATACAGTACCATTTTAAAAATTCTACCAACTTATTTAAAATATTTCCTGTGAAAACATCATCCAAAATATACTTTGTTAATTTTTATGAATGTTAAGTGTTATGTCTCTTTTCTTTGACGCTTTCCTTTTTTATCCTGTGCTTATACCAAAAACAAATTATTTGAAAATGCTAAAATAAATAAAATGTGGCATGTTTTCTTAGCTGTTTTGCATCCTGTTATAAAATATTTTACAACTGTGAAAGTTGAAAAATAACTTTATTGGTTTTGCTGCATATAACTGCCTGTCTATTGTAAGAGAACTCATCTATACAATTAAGGCATTTTGTTATTTCAAGTACAGAGGGGCAAGAATGTAAGGGAATTATAAAAACCCCAAGATGACTCATTTAAAGTAGATGCACATTAAAATACTATAGATCTGGCATATTTCATATTTATAAAGCAGACAAAAAGAATGTTTATCTTTGCATTTGGCAAGAGTATCTTCAAGATAACTATTTACCACTTTTCAAAGCACTATTGTTGGGAAGGTTTTATTAGGGGAGAGGACTTAGAGAACATGACTTTCCTCATCCAAAACCAAAAACAAATGAGGGCTTAAAATATATTATTTAAGAAGACAGTGGCCAGGAATAAAGACCATGACCAACAAGCTTTGGGGCCATCAAGATGAAAAGACCTTTGCTTTATTCAAGATCTAGGATCTGAAAATCTCACTTGATAAATTTAACTGGATTTTCTTTTCTGATTATGTTTAACTCCAAAATTTGGTTGTATACTATAGCAATTTTTTGCTATAGTAACTATTTTACCTGGATGTTAAAAGAAAAACCACTGGAATCTAAAGAGAGATGAATAACCTCTTGAGCTTAGATGGAGAACTAGCCAGTGGCAAATATGTATCTAGTGGGGTAAATACATCTCAAGAGAGTCAAACCATTACAAAACAAGGTGTTTTTAAAAACATTTCAACTTGAAATTATATATACATAAAAAAAGCATTAAAAGGTATTAGAGATCTTTCTTAAGGGCTGGTAAAATAAAAACACCTTAAAAGACACATGTTACAATTTCCTCACAGAGGTAAAGAGGTTGTGACCAGCATCAGCATCTTAAGGATATCATTTCAGAGCTTGATTCTTCTGCCCTAAGTGGTTCAAAGAGCTTGAGCGGGTACACTCTGGTACTAGAGAATATCTGAAGCAATTCACCTAGTTGGATGAAAAAGGACTTACATACCCTTGATTTATTAAAATTCATTGTTCTTTTATATACATTTCACTTTAAAACTCTGAAATGAACGTTTATGCAGTATGACATGAATGATTTCATAATGTATATGACAAGCTTAATAAGGCTGACATTCAATGAATAGAAAAGTAATTTACCTTTTAGTAATCAGAAAAACTTTCAATCCATTTTTATCTTATTTTAAGTGTCTGTTATTAAAGCTTGTGATATTTATTAATGTAAACAAGCCAAAGGGTGATTGTTTTTGACACATGGCATTGTACCATAGTGTAATGGGTAGTTTCCTTCTCAGTTAACCTTCAATACTCTGTACACACTATTCTGAAATACTGTGGTGAAGTAAGGCCTCGCATCTTCGAGCAGGACGCTACATAAGGGAGGGTTCGCTGCATTGGAAGGGTCTTCCACATCCCAGATTTCAAGCATACTGCAACCAGGCCTGAGAAAAGATAGACATATATATCCATATTAGAAATGTATTCCTGTCTAGAGAAAATAGATACATAACACAACATCTAGATTTTCAGAGACATATTTTTTAAATAAGTTAAATATTTTAAAGCATCATTTCAAAACACAATTTCAACATTTAGAAATTTAAAAAATAGAATGAAATTAAGTATGTTGCATTTTCACATCTCATTTAACCAAATGAAAGATATATCCTAATAATAAACCTTCAATATACATTCATAAATATACATTTAAAAGCTCACTTTCAAGATGAAACAAACATAAATATACTCTCCAAGTGCCATCACCATCTAAACATAAGGCCCATTTGTAGTAAAATAAGACAACTTAAAACCTAATCGAATTCCTGATGAATTTCATATTTTTTAGCATAAACTGTCTTGGATTAGCATGAAATCATCCAAGGCAGGGACAGGAGACTCTCATGGCAGTTTGTTTTCTTCAGGGCTTTCCCGTTTTGGGAGGCTGTATGACTGGGCTACACGAGACACTGTTCCTCCCCGGAGAGTAACCCTGCATGGCAGTCATTAAAGGGAAGGAGTCAGGCAAAACTGATGTCTAATTTTTTAACATCTATATTGAAGTATAAGTTATACACAATAAAATTCACCTACTTTATGTATAAAGTTTGGCAGGTACGGACAAATGTGTATAGATGTGCAAGCACTACCACAATCATAATACAGAAAATTTCCATCACCCCCACAAGTTCCCTGTGCCCTTTTGCAATCTACCTCCTTCCCCAAACATGGCCTCAGGCAACTACTGTGCTTTCTGCACTATAGTTTTGCTTTTTCTAGGATTTCATATAAATATATTATGTAGTCTTTTCATTTTTGGCCTTTTTACCATAGCATGTTTTTGATATTCATATCTGAGCTGTAGTTCCTGCTTCTGTTGAGGTTCAGTAGTTCCTTCCTTTTTGTTGCTAAATAATATTTCATTGTATACAGAGAACACAATTTGTTTATCCAAGTTAATGAACATTTGAGATGTTTTGAGTTTTTGGTGACCATGCACAATGCCGCCATAAGCATTCATGGACAAGGCTTTTTGTGGACATATGTTATCATTTCTCTTAGGGAAAAACCCAGGAGTGGAATTGCTGGGTTGCATGGTTATGTATGATTAAGTGTGGATTTATCTTTATAAGCAAGTTCAAAACTGTTTTCCAAAGTAGATACCCATTTTCCATTTCTACCAACAATGCATGAGAGTTTAAGTTGTATCAGTTTTTGTAATTTTAATCATTATAGTATGATTATGGATGATTCAAAATATCTTCTTTGGTGGAATGTCTATTCAAATATTTTGCCAAATTTTGTGTTGTTTCTTATTGAGGTGTGAGAGTTCTTTGTATATTCTGCGTAAAAGTCTGCCAGATTTTTTTAGCAGATGTATTAAGGTGTAATTGCTCAATAATTACCCAATAAGCTGCACATATTTAGTATCCACTTTGATACATATTAACGTATGTATACACCTGTAAAACAGCAGCCACAGTAAAAATCATGAACATATCCATCTCTCCCAAAATTTTACTTCCATCCTTTTGTAAACCTAATTGTTGCATGCTTTCTTTTTTGTCTGGCCTCTTGTCCTCAGTAGAATTATTTTGAGATCCATCCATATTGCTGTATCCATATGTTGCTCATTTTTATTAGTGAGTAGTATTTACATTGTTTGGATATTCTAGTAGTGTGTTTATACATTCATCTGTTGATAAATAAGTGGGTTATTTCCAGTTTGGGGCTATTATAGAAAATAAAGTGCTATGAACAATTGTGTACAATTACTCAGATGGATATATGCTTTCTTTTATCTTAATAAATATAGTAGTTGTATGTTTAACTTTTAATAAAATTGCTAAACTGTCTTGCAGAGTGGTTGTACCATATTACTTTTGCGCCACTGGTGTATGAGTGTCCTAAGTCCTCCAAAGTGTCAGCAACACTTTGCATCATCAGGTTTTTTCTTTCAATTATAGCTATTTTATTAAGTGTTTAGTGATATCTCACTGTAATTTTCATTTGCATTTCACAAATCACTAGTAACATCAAGCGTCTTTGTGTGTGATTATTTGCCATCTGTCCATTTGTCTTTTTTTTTTTTTTTTTTTAGACAAGGTCTTGCTGTGTCATGAAGGCTGGAGTGCAACAGCACAATCTCGGCTCACTGCAACCTCCGCCTCCTGGGTTCAAGCGATTATCCTGCTTCAGCCTCCCAGGTAGCTGGGATTATATGTGCCCACCATCATGCCTGGCTAACTTTTTGTACTTTTAGTAGAGATGGAGTTTAGCCATGTTGGCCAGGCTGATCTCAAACTCCTGACCTCAGGTGATCCACCTGCCTCGGCCTCCCAAAATTCTGGGATTACAGGCGTGAGTCACCCACTGCGCCCGCCCCTGGCCTATTTTGTCCATTTTTAATTGGGTTGTTTTCTTATTATTGGGTTTTGAGAGTTCTTTATACATCTAGAGAAAGTCCTTTATCGGACATAGGCTTTGAAAATATTTTCTCCCAGACTGGTTTATCCTGTAATTCTTCCTAACACTGTTTATAAAAAAGCAGAGATTTACAGTTTTGTTGTTTTTTTTTATTATACTTTAAGTTCTAGGGTACATGTGGATAATGTGCAGGTTTGTTACATATGTATACCTGTGCCATGTTGGCGTGCTGCACACATCAACTCGTCAGCACCCATCAACTTGTCATTTA